TATTCTACGGAGTTTCTGCGCGGAATTGCTGCACGATGTCGTCGTTCATGGCTGGGGTTTAGATCGATTCTGCATTTTCGGGGTTGTCTTCTCAAGCCAAGTAGAAGTAGGTACGGACTTGCATCGGATTATTCGTGCGTCTCCGGGGGTTAATCGACAACTTCGATGTCGGGTGCTGACTCACTGGTTAATATCAATATGCACAATAATCCAGGAACAGGGCGTCCTCTCGAATGCAGCAGCCTGCGGAGGAAGGACGGGAACTGCATCTCCACGGAAATAAGAACGAGATATGTCCAGAGAAAGGGGGGTTAGAGCCTCTCAAACTCTTCAGAGACGGCATCCCTGTCACATCGCGGTGTTCTCCCGGCCTTCTAGCGTCCTTCCATCTGGCGGAGTCCCACTGCACTTGATCCGTGCGCGGAATCCCGTAACCTTCTAGCGTTCTTCTAGCGTGGTAGCCGGGGGGGGGGGGGGGGTTCGGCAGTCCTGATTTTCACATCTGTGGATCCCTTGATGTCGTCTCGGTGTTGCTCTCCTGTTATTAATCACCCTGATGGACCATGGCGTGAGAGGTGGATTGGCTGCCAGGGCTGATGTGCGACAGGGCTCATGGCTGTCAATTGTCAAAAAGCCTTCAGGCACACGTCTCCACGGCGTCCAACCAGAGAGGACGGTGGCCTAGAAGCGCGGAGATCCAGAGCCACGCGACGAAGTTTTCACTCGTTTGTTCGTTGGGAGTTGGGTACGCAGGAGCGAACTGGTGGATCATTTCACAGACTAGGATGGAGGAAATTTTCCTTCTCTTCTATTCCCCTTCTTCACAGGCATTTTCCACGTATTCTTGACGTCAACTAGGCCGAAACCGCTTTCCATCGGGCATGGCATTCGGGCCTTACATTGGTGACTGGTTGTGGATCTGTTGGTCACGGTGGATATTTGACAAGGGGGGAATTTTTCTGCCCTTTTTTTTCTTCCGCTTCCCATCTCGAAAATGCTGCAAGTGATTCTTCTCGTTGCTAGTTGGTTCGCGATTTTCGCCCAATCGTGTGGGGCCTTCCTCTCAAACTGAAGGTCTAGATTTTTTGCTGCTTGGAAATCTCTCCAGCCACACGCCCACGTGGAGAATCGTGAGAATTGTTAAGCATGTGGATCCAAGGAGGGGGGGGGGTGTGATTGTAAATATCTATCCGCGTGGAACGGAATGGATGACAGATGAATTGTATTGAAGGGGTTGGAAGGGTGAACGCGGAACGGGATTCGACGCGGCCATGGTCTTTTCTCGGCGATGCGGTCTTCACCGTGAGCCTGTGAGGACGGTGGACCGGAGATATGCCTCTCTCTCTCTCTCACCAAGCCCGGCGCCGATGAAACTGTCAAAGTCCATGCGGCTCTGAATTTTGTTCAGAGACGGATGATGTGACGGCCCTTCTTTGTTCCCAAAGCTGCTGTGGTTTATCAAGTGTTCCTGAAATCCAACCCCCGGTCTTTTAAACTCGTCTGAACCCAAGCGCGTCTCAACACTGGGGAGCGTTCCCGCTGTCGAACGTGACTGCGGAATGTTGCTGTTCTTCATCGGTTTCACGATCGCTGGGCCTGCACGGGACGGGAGACGGGGGGAGATCCACCTTTCACACAAGGGATGGAAGCTGAGCTTCGACATCGGACAAGCTGTGTAACCTCAACCTCGTCTGCCATCTAAAGGAAAATGTCTTGGCCGCGCCTACGGGTCTCAGATACTTTGCTGGCGCGGGGGGTTACAAAAGAGAGATCTATCCCGAGACGTCTCTCGCGGCCAGCCGGGTAGATTTGACACGAGCTTGGCTGAGCTTCCTCAGCTGGAGCTCAGCTACCAGAGGGGGGGGGGGGGGGGGGTTGGAGTTTGGGGAATGTGGATTGGGTTTCTGGTTCGGGGCTGCTCCGCGAACCTGGATCAGGACCATGTCGAGGCACCATGTTTTTCTTTTTCCAGATTATATGAGACGTCTTGCCTCAGAGCGCCCCTTGTTTCTGTGCCTAATTTGTCTTCGAGGCCGCGATTCAATGTCTGAGAAAAGTAAATAACAATGAGTTCGTGCCGGGGTATATTGAAAATAAGAATCGAGGAATCCAATAGAGAGGGAAAAGGAACAAAATGTAAACAAACTGCAGCATCGCAAGCATTCCTCTTCGTCGCGAAGTTGGCCTCCTGATAGGTCGAACATCCGCATCTGGGGGCCCAGCTTCCTGGTCTTTCTCCCTGCCGTGTGTGTGACCATTGCTTTTATTTCCGTACACGAGGCTGTCTGATCGTCTTCCCGTGTTCTGGTTCCTGGTTGTCGGGACACTAGCTCTTTCGCGTGTAACGTCTCAACCCGGGTTCGTGCTTGACATCTTCGGCCGAAGGCAGCGGCGGCGGGTCACTGCGAGAGGAGGTAGGTCGGGTCCCTATTGCAGAGCTGGTGGCACGTCACGTCGGTCGTTCCTGTTAGACTAGATGAGTAGGATCCGTATATGATGATATCTGTTTTACGGCCGTCGGTGGATGCCTGTTTGGGTTGGAATGTAAATAAGCGGCGAAATGATTCTTGCTAATGAGACTGCTTGAGCTACCGATTACACAAATGGTCTTCAGATCTCCGTTACAGAGGCTGCTCGCTGTTTATTTCTCTATGAGAAAGACCCGCCGATTGTACGTAAGAAGTGATTGCCGGTGCTTCACGACGAGAAGGGTGCCTAGATTCATGAGAAACTAGGACAGGTTCAATTCAAGGAGCTTGAGTAAAAGGTTTTATAAGTAAACAGTCATGTATGAATAGTCAAAGTTGGAGTAGCTCGTCTTGTTGAAGACAATTTCGATGAGGCGTGTTTTATCCTTCTATAATTCAAGTCGCTTCCCTGATGCAAGGTAGTGGTACCGGGCTATTAAGGTATAGCAGACAACCAAGGCTCCGTCATCCCGTCTACTCGACCGAGTGGCTTGTACTACCGGCCCTACGTTAGCGGACGAGATGCTCGAGCCTGAGCTGGCTGTCAATGAGGTGGTGTTCAACCACAGCTCCAGCCACCGGCATCTGCCTCGCTCCCTTCTACCTCTGCGTTCTTCCCTACCTCCTTCATGAGGCTCCTTCGAATCATCCGGCCTCGCCTAATCTTAATTATAACCCTCAACGTCGTTTCCTGTCACCAGCACAGGGGGCGCCCGTCCATGGTCGGTAGGTCGGGTCAAAGCTGTATGTGAGGAAGTCAAGTGGTTGATTACGGGTTGACTGAGGGGCGCGTTGTTCGATCCCGGGCAGGGGCGTGAGTTATATGGTTAGCATTCCCCTATACTCCTTTCCTATCATTTCCTTTGCCTATCACGCTTCCTAGGCCTAGAGTTCCTGCTATTACGTAGTCTCCAGTACAGGTAATCCAGCCTTTTTCACCAAATCGTTGCTGTGGTCGTGATATGAGAATTCGCATCTTTCACTGAACCACGACTCTATCTCATTCAAGTCGTGACGTGTTTGGACGTTTATCAGCACGCGTTTTTCATCAAGGGAAGAGAGACTGAGTGTAATGCTCTTTTCTCTTACATATAGGATACGTGTCCTCGGTTGAAGACGCCTCTCACAACCAACACACATTAGTATCAGTGGCACTACAATTCCGACCTATGTTACTGAGGTCTGGTCCGAAGGCTCCCCTCACATAGACGAAGCAAACAACTGCATCGAGGCCCTCTGGGTACAAGACATACATGAGCTTTTAGGATTCGGAACCCGCCACACCACAACATCTGATACTTCATCTTGACTGTCTCAGTATCATGATATCCGGCTGGATTGTCCAACCTGTTGATCTCACACGAATTGGCAAACCTCAAAACCGTTCACCATCCAAGCCTCTTGCAAACCACCCATTCACTCACGTCTCAGAACTCCCACTAACCTGGACAATGACAGGATAACTCGACTGGTACACAATCTCATGCACTATACCCTCGTTCTTAACCCCCCACATTCACCCCGAGCTGATCCATCCCTCCATCCAGAAACCTGAAATCGTACGCTTCCGTACACACAAATCGTAACCTGGCGAACCCGTTCGGTCCGAAATCCAGGTTGTACATCGTGATGCTGGTGATTAGAGTTTCCCGCTCCGAGGGGGGCTTGAAGTGGGCTAGGCCGAAGGGGAACGCCTGGCTAGTTTACGGCGATGTTGAGGGGGGGGGGGGGGGGGGGGGGGGGGGGCGGTTGGCTGCTGGCCGCTGCTATTGTGATGTTATCGGTTGTGCTTGGGACGTGATCGAGAATGGTGGATGTGGGTGCACTCTTGATCTTTGAGGTCCCGATCTTGAAAGTCTGGCCGGTGCTGCTCGTTGCGTCGGTTTATGTGAGCTCGTCACTCAGCGGGGGTTTGCTCCAGTCGGCTTGGGGCTGGGCACGACTACTCATAGTGCCGGATACTAACGAAGAGATAGATATGGGATCAGGAGCTTATTAGATGGTAATGTTGAGGGTTTAGCTAATACTACAGTGTCAGAAACAGATCAGAGCGACATTTCGACTCTCATTATTTTATTCCCGCCTTTGAGAAATGCAGCACAATCAGCCGCCTTAACATTCTATACCTGCTTGCACCCCAAGGGAATGCAATCTCCGCTCCATCCCTAGACAAGGCACAACCCGAAAGCTCAGCTTGAGAAACACGCGCGAGCTATGGTGTCTGTCTTAGAGCCAGTCTACATTTCCCTCGACGCCACGCTTACTTACTTAGGTAGGTACATTGCCTACTCGTTGGCGCCCAGCTGAACGTTTGTCTCATCGATCAGATGGTATAAGGATGGAGTAAGAGGGGAGAATAAGCTACGCCCGATTTCTTCTGAGCTAAAAAAAAAAACGACGTCTCGAACATGATTCTCCTCGTGAGTCCTCTCAGTAGTTGTGTCACCGAGGGCATATTAGACCAGTCTTTGCATAAGTCTAGGAATCAAATAGCCACTGGGTTCACTTCATATATCATCATTGATAATCCTTGTGTTTCTTCTCGTCATGCATTATCATTATTCATAAGGTAGTGGTACAGGTAGACTAGGTAGTACAGGGTATCTGCGCGAATCATCCTGGAAAGTGTGTCCCTTTCGGACCGCCAATTTTCTTCTTCTCTCCTTTTCCTCTTTTTCCTCCTTCTGCTGTCATGCCTTCCCTATGTTGATCACACGATTAAACAGACATGATCAACCCCAGCCCGCAGCCCTCCTGTCCCAACGAGGCCTTGAACTCTCTCGCGCGCTGCCAGTGCTCGCGATCGATGCGCTCCTCCTCCTTGCGCATCTTGAAGTCGAGCAGGCCGTCGTCGCCCTTGCGCTGGCGCACCATCTCGGCCTCGACCTTCTTAAAGGCGTACCAGTCGTCCAGCTGGGAGGGGAGAGGCACCTGCTGCACCTCGTCGAGGCTCTTTTGCCCGTCGACGCGCTCGAGGAGGAGCTCGAGGCGGTATTTGTCCGTGGCGGGGTCGAGCTTGTTGCCGTACTGGCGGATCGTGTACAGGCCGTCGTAGCGGACACCGGCTTGGGGCGCGAGCGTGCTCTTGAGGCGGTAGCCCCGGAGGATGCGGATCTGGGTGCCGACTTGTGTGAGGAGGGAGACGTGCATGTCGGAGAGCCGGCCCTCGCGGACGTAGCGGTAGAGGTTGCCGCGGATGTGCTCCTCGCGTCCGGTGAGCAGGGGCAGAGCGGTGACGCCGTATTTTCCCTTTGTGGGCTTTTCGACGGCGGTGCCGATGACGCCGTCACGATGTGCGCAGGCGAGGTTTAGCCACCAGCTTTTGATAAGGTTAGTATGACTGTCTGCGATGCTTCAGTGTAGGGAAGAGCTTACTGTCCGGGCTCGAACTGCTGGTTGCCCTCCAGTTCCGAGATGGGGTCGCGGCAGAGGTTGCTGACGGCCCAGGACTCAAGGGGGTCCATGCCGGACGCGGTGAAGTGGATGTCGCGCATCTCGCCGCCGATAGACAGGCTGCGCTGGCGGACCTGGTCGAGGGAGAAATACTGGTCGCGGAAGCGGGCCCGCCACATCTTTTGCAGGCTCTCGCACAGGGCCATGTCGGCGCGGAAGCGGAGCGGCAGCGGGAGTGGCCGGTGGGCCGGATCGAGGACGTCGCCGAGGAGCTTGTCTAGGCGGGCATATTGGAGTGTCTCAAAGTCGAGGGACTGGGTGTGGTTCAGCTCGTCCTTGAGGGCCCTGTCCAGGAGGCTCTGGATCCTGTCCGCGTGGGGACCGAGGCTCTTTGAGTGGCGGAGGGAGGTCCGTACTGAGTCGCAGAGCTCGAGGAGTTGTTCCTTTGTGGGCAGCGGCTCTGCGGCGGGAGGAGATTGGATATCACCTGGAATTGGTGTTAGATTACTGTTGGAGCATCGCTGTGACTGTTGAACGATGCTGACCTGCTCCGGGGTATCTCATAAAATATGTCTCTGTTGTTCCGTCCATCTGGAATGGCGAACGGCAAGGCCTAGTCATGATTTGGGTGGGCGACATGATGGTTGAGATTGAGAGAACCAGTCTTTCAAATGAGAGAAGTCGCTGTGTGGTCCGTTGTAGGAGTGGGAATTGGCATCTACACGTTGCAGGATCTCCGAGTCGTTTCGCTAATGTCTCCGGGGCTAGTGTTTAGGCTTGGTTTTGCGGTGCTTGGTGTTGTTTGTTTGCGTGTATCTTGTAAATGAGACTTCCAAGACGGAGGGGAAACGAAGAGCGACTTATATGAAGATGAGGAGACGAGAAGATGAGGACGATGGCTTGAGGAGAAGCGTGGTATCCGAGCTAGCCAAGTTGTGCACCCCTGGACCAGCGGGACCCAGGGGTGTAAGGCACGATACTAAGCAAGAGATGGCCTGAATTAGACACGGCGTGGGGTTATCCCGTGAGACAACGTGCAGAAAGGGGGAAAGTTCTGGTCCCGTTGGAACCACTCGACCGGGAAGACTCAAGGTTCCAAGGAGGAAGGACGATGAGTTCATCGCGCCTCTCAGGCGGTGGCGTGCGCTACCGAGAGTTTGGTTTGGGTCGGCGATGTGGACTTTTGGCACTTCAACCGAGAGCGAGTTGGGCTTCCTGGGCTTCCTCTGGGTAGGAATAGCCTGAACACAAGGTGGCTAGCTACTAGGGGCCGCCAAGCCGGGCGATCGGTGGCAGAGTAATCTGTCAGCTCAAGTTGTCTGGAAAGGACGAGCCAGTCTGACGGAGACGGGGTTTAGCATGATGCGGAAGGCGTCCCGGAGGCTGAAGACGTTCCAGACTTGGGGCAGTGGTGAACGACGGCCGAATCCCAAAGTAGACAGAGGTAAAGTGGACGGCAAGAGAGGGTTGTGGCACAGAATTGTGGCATCGGCCATCTCGGGCAGAAGTACTGTCCGCCTGCCAATGACATCTCGTGGGCGTAGATTTTCTTCAGCGATTATACCAAGTCCGGCGATGCCTCGAGACAATCTGTAACATATCGAATCCGTCGACCCGTCTGAGTGGCATAGTGCCGACAGAACCAAGCTGTCGGCGTCTCGTTGAGCCATGTGGCATCCGTCCGGAATTGTCGTAGCCGCTTCCGGCCGGCGTTTTTTTCGGCAGTGGTTAACCTCTTCCGGCGCTCAGTCGGAGCATGCCTGCTCCCCGATGTCCTAGCGTCCCCCAGATTCCTTTGACAACCCGGGTCCAAGGTTCAGGTAGTCCGCAATCTGACTTTACGCCGCGCTTCCCAGCTTCGTCGGTGGTGCAACGTTTCTGGTCGAGGCCTGAAAATTCACTGCAAAGCACTCCATCAGTGGCGGTCACCGCATTTAGGTTCGCCAACTTCAAGGTTAGACACTCACTCAATCGGTCTCATCGAACCCATCCAGGGACTTGGGACTGTGGTGTGCCCTTATTCATGTCGGTCAAACGCAATATTGGTTCAACGGCTATCATCACACCCGAACCGGACAGGGCAGAAGAGAAGAGCCCACCATAACCCCCCTCGTTCTCCTGTTGCCCGTCATCCGCCGCCATTTCTTGGCAGGCGGGAGTGTCGGCGTCAATCTGTCTCAACTTGAGACGTGGCGCTGAAGAAAAGTTCTGAAACCAGGTTCTTGAACTGCTGGGACACTGCTTTAGCTGCTTCAAAGCCAGCGAGCCACACACTTTGCGGCAGGAGTCCCACTGTGGTCCCAAAGGACGACTATGACTGCATCCAGGATGTCGTTGTCAGGTCCATGGGAAAGAGAGAGAGAGAGAGAGAGAGAGCGACGTAGGTGGACTGAAGTTCGACATCAACGGGCGCAGAATACGAGAAATAGCTGAACGCCTTCTTGGATGGGCTGCTGAAGAGGCGCTCCATCAACACTTGGGCGGTCCCAAGAGTGCCCATTGCTCTCATTAAAGCCATATAGAGCGGCGGAATGGTTGAGTGCCTCAAGTCTAGCCACATGGGGCTGCTCTCTGGCTAAAAGCGCTCAAATCTCAGCGAGAACAGCTTCCGAGCAGAAGCTGTTTCGTCGTCTGGCCCTGCCCAAGATATCGACAGATTTAGGCGAAGACGGGACGGCCTGTGGGTGGCTTGTTCTTCGCTTCAGTTGAAATTCGGTTCTCCAAGACAATTCAAGTTAGCCATCCGAGGTCCGTACAGTCCTTTTTAAGCGATTAGCTCGGACAATGCACATTGGATGCTTTCGGTTAGATCTTGGAGGTTGAACTCGTGGGAGGAAACAAAGGCTAGGGCATTCAGCAAACAAACGCTACAACCAAGACTCATGTAGATTTTGTCGAGCAGTCCAAGTCGAGATTTGCTCTTTATGGTTTGGCAGAGGCATTCGAAGACGGGAATGTACTTGTGCTCTTTGAGCGACCTCTCCTGCTTGCTCATTTCGCTTCTATCAAGCCTTGGTCGTGGACATGAGATATGTAAGGTATGATGCCGGGGTGGGTGTCCTTCTGCGCCATGTGACAGACTACGAGCAATTGTTGCGTAGGGTGAGATAATCTAGGCAGATGTGGAACGGATGAAGAGTGACAGACCATCAAGTAAAGTGCGAGATGGTAGATTAGAGATTGGGTATTCCGTCCTCTGCGGATCCTTGCAGAACGGTTGAGAATGCCATGTGGTGTCAAAATCCGAGTGGCCGCCAAGCAACGGCGGGCAAAGAGTGACATTTGTGTGTACGGACGTAACTCGAGCAAGTCACGCGCGATACCTGCTAGCTAACCGATTGTCGTCTCCATAGCCAATTCGACCCAGGAACCTGGAAGATGGTTGAATGGGATATCCTGAAATGACGGAATAGGGTGAGAATCGGATTGGCCTATCCAGAAAGCCAGTAGCAAGCTTGCCCTTCACAATGTGGTTGGCTGAGAAGCGAGGACAGTCGGGCATATCGAAGAAAGATCACTGCGGGCGCACTATCTCTTTGGCTGCCGTTACTATGTGGTGGTTTCTGGCTATTGCTTCTATCTCGCTTGCCATTTTAGTTCTCATGGTGGCATTTTTCGAGCCATTTCTTCTCAAAAGAATTTTGAGGCTGAACGGCACACATACTGAAAACGAAAACGGCGAGATCGGCGAAAAGGAGACCGGACGGAGGAAAAATGACATGGACAGAGAAAGGTGACGATGATTCTGTGGTTGGAGTTGAGAAGAATGAAAGTTGCAGTACGGGCGTAAGAGCGCGTCTCCACTTTCCCCGACGTCTACCCAGTGCCACATTCTCCACGCGACATGACGGAGAACCTTGGCAGCAGCCTCCGGACCACATGCAAAACTCCAACTTGCCACTCCCATCCACCGACAGAATCCCATACACGTCACGAAAACCCAGCATCAAATTCCGCCGAAAATGGACAGCAACAAAGACCTGCTCGCCAAAGCAAAGGAGTACTCGTCCAACAACGTGGACCTCTACGACCTGCTGCAGATCGACAGCACCGTCACCGAGGAAAAGGACGTCCGCCGCGCGTGGCGCAAACAGTCGCTCAACTACCACCCGGACAAGCTCAAGGACGCCTTTGACCCCGAGAAATGGGAGCTCATCGAGACGGCGCGCGACATCCTCCTCGACGCCGCCGCCCGCGCCGCATACGACAACGCCCGCAAGGCTGTGCTCCTGCGCAAGGCCGAGCGCGACCGCGTCCAGGGCCAGCGCAAGCGTCTCATTGACGAGCTCGAGGCCGCGGAGCAGGAGGGCAAGAGGCAGAAGCTCGCGGAGCAGGAAAAAGCTCGTGAGCTGGAGCGGGAGAGGGCGCGGCTCGCTGAAGAGGGACGCCGGCGCATGGCGGAGGAGTCGGAGAGGTTCAAGCGGGAGAACCTGGAGCGGCTGGAGAGGGAGAGGGAGCCTGATGAATATGACGAGAAGCTGGCCGAGTTGCAACAACGGCTGGACGAGAAGAGGCGACTCAAGGCCGAGAAGAAGGCAAAAAGGAAGGGCGGCGCGGTCGGCGACGCTGCTGCCGATGCAACGACGCCTGCGTCGGCGAACACACCGGAACCAGCACCGAAGCCGGCCCCGGCAGCACCCCCTAAATGGGAGGATCTAAAGGCGCGAATGATTGCGGCTCAGAGACTCAAAGAAGCGAAAAAGGCTGCCGAGGCAGGGCAGGCGACCGAGGAAGAAGTCAAGCAAAAATACGAGACAGTTCGGGCTCTCGACCCGAGGAATAAAATCTAGACGGACTCAGGATGGACATGGTTTCGTTGGGCGGAGAAGATGATGGCGGACGAGGCCGCGACGATTTACCTACGCGATTATACCCCCTTTTTATTTTTCTATTATTTTACAATACGAGCGGCACTGACTTTTCAGTTAACCAGATGCCTCGTTCAACCCGTTCCTCAACCACTCCGGCACGAATGCCTTGATCTTCACTGCGTTGTTTTGCTCACCACCCCCCTCACCCTCGCCCCATTTCAGCAAGAACTCGTTGGCGGGGTCAAAGGTGGAAGCGGCCGTTTCGCCAGGTAAGACGACGTCGGTCATAATCTCCAGACGGCACAGGCCCAGGCCAACGTTCCCAATACCCTTGAGCCACTTGCCCGCGCTCCGCCCCTTCTTGCCAGACCTCCCGATGCTCGTCTCCCGCGGGATCGATTCCGCGGGCAGACCCCCCTCGGGACCGTGATTCGCCGCGTCTTCTTCTGCTGCGCCTGGCCGGTACTGCAGCGTCTGGGGCGCCGCCCTGTCCACGTCGTAAATCATGCACGGCAGGATCCGCTTCCGCACCACGCCGCGGTGCTTCGTCCGGATCGTGAGCTCTTGCCCGACGTAGCATCCCTTGTGATAGTCGATCCCGTTCATGTAATCCATATTCGTCTCCTGCGGCAGCGCGTGCTCCCTGATAACCTCGTCCTGGCCCTCGGCGACGCCCTGCAGGTACCGCCTGATGGTATAGCTGTCCTCCGTCGTGACGTCCAGATCCAGCGCCAACCCCGACGGCGGCGCGGCCGCGTCACCGCCTTGCACGACGCGGTATCCCAACTCGGGCGTCCGCGGGTCCTTGGTCATCGTGCCCAGCAGCGCGGTGTCCGTCGTAATCGGCTTCTCGCTGTCGTTCCAGGCATGCCATACCGTCGCCTCGTCCGCCGCGAGCAGTCGCACAGTGAGCTTGGCGCGCAGTTTATACCGCTTGATATGCTTCGCCAGCCTCTCCGCCTCGTTGGCGTCGACTTCGATGAGGAACCGCG